TAGGAGCAAGAAGCTACTAGGGGCTCCTGGCATCGCTACTAGGAGCATTCTTACTACTAGTGGAAGGTTCCTTCTGATTACAAGCGGTCCGTCCATTTCGCTGCCTTGCTACGAGTCTCCGACTTGTCCTGGGGATCGATCGAGTCGATTGTTGAGCTGCGATGGATCGAGTCTTGAACGATGCTTGCAGCAACTTCCGTTCAGATCTCGGCCTTGGGTGTTACAGTTGGAACAGCTTTGCATGTTACAGTTGGAAGCGCTTTTGCTTTTACATGGGTTTCGACTGCTTTGTCTCAACCGGAGTTTGCTGCTTCCTGAGTCGAAGTTCAGCGCCACACCGGTGCAGGACAATGTATGGAGTGGGATGACTTGCCGCCAGAATGCGACGAAGGACGGGTTTGGCCGGGAGAATGCTCGGTGCAAAGAGGATGAATTTAACGGACCAAAGAGCGGATGGGTGCTGGAAGGAACGGACCAAATATAATATATTATAGTTATAATATATATAGTATATACATACAATATGAATCATACAACATATATATACGTATGATATATATATACATATATATATAAGTATATGCTAGTTGAAAGATACCTATACAAAGCTCAAGGAATCTATAGTAATTTTATGGCCTTAAAAGGAGATAGAAGGATGAACGCAGTCTATGCCCGTCTCATGCAGCCTGTCAGTGTTATTTCTTTTGCGACTGGAACCACAACTCACCCTCATGCTTGTTTGGGGTCAAGTCCTGCATGTGCAAGCGACGAACAAGTTGAGATACCACCCACAGAACGCCACACAACGCCCCCAAAACGATCTGGCCTAATGAGTGCTTGTGCCCTCAATTTCCCTAAAATCTCTCGTCATTTGATCCTATCTAATCGGCACATCTAACCCTTCAGACTCTTTGAGCCCAAACTTGTGCTACTGATACTGATCATCTGAACGATTCTTGGGCAGACCCCACTCCAAGAAGAGTTCTCTCATGCATACCAGTGATGTGTCGGCAACTCTATGGCGAACTATAAGAGTTTCCAGGTTCCAACATCCATGGTCTTTCTATGCGAACGCTACGGGTCGTGAGAGCCACCTGCTGCTATCTGTGATGGAAGCTGTTGAAGCTGTTGGGAGCGCTTGCTTCACCCCGTTTCGAGGCTGCGTGGAGTACAAGTGGCGGCTGGGTCCAGAGCATACCCATAGGCCCGAGCGCGTCGGCCCACTCCGCGTCGTCCGGAGTGTGCCGGGTTCCGGAGGGTTGATAGAGAGCGTTCCGGAGAAGCAATGCCGACGGAGCAGAGAATCAAGCTCACAAGAATCAAGACAAGTCGTATGTATCTTCCTGCATATTTATTAGTGTTTCATCCAGCACAAGACCATAAGCTACGCTACAGGAGGTGATTAATAACTGTAGCATGTTGAGGGGCACCAAGGTGGCACCAAGGCCTGATAAACCAAAAGAATGATCTGCGACCTTTGAGTTCTGTGTACTTCAATGTGTCAGGCTGCATCATGTTTTGCTTTTTATAGATAGATACACAAGCTGAACAGGCGACTCCAAGTTTGAGCGTAAAGTGGGAGGCAAGACACTTCCTTTGAGGTTCTCGTTCCAGTCGGAAGAAACTTCCACGATGTCAGGGACCGCAAGAATGAAAGTCACGCCCAGTCAAGTCCCATGTTTAATCCAGTACCCTTATGCATCTCAATCGACAAAGCCCGGCTCCATGCGAAAAACACACAACACCCCTGCATATTGTTTGCCCAAAGATGATGCCAATTCCCCTAAACCATAGCCATCAATCGCCCCAAAAAGGCCTCGTCACTCCCCAACCCTAAAGGTACTGCAACGGCTCGGTGTTTCGTTGGTGTTCGGTTTTCAGCGGGGGAGGATCCCCCGTTGGTTTCGGTTCTCCATTTGGGCGCCCGTTGAAACGAGGGTGAAATCGGTGGGTTCAGAGTTCCATGGTTTTTGGGCACTTTTTCGGGTGAAAAGAAGATCAAAACTGGACATTCAGGTGATCAATTCCGACAAAAGCTCAATGGACCACCCTTAAATCATCTTATATCCCATCTGGGTGGTGGTTTCAGATATCTTCGATGTTTCAACCTCTGCTTGGAGATGATGGATCCCCAAGTGGGTTGAAACCACGTAACGAGCAGTGAGCGGTTGGATGTATACCCGCACCACTGGGGGCGGAGCAGCCGGAGGCGGGTGGAACGTCTCGCGCTCGGAGCACCCAGATCGGGGTTCTTTGTGGATGGGGGCTTAGGCTCCCAAAACAGCAGGGTTGTGTAATATAGCCTGTGGGTCATAGCACCAGTAGACCGACCGCTTGACCTACCTGGAAGATCAAGCTGGTGCTGGTGCTCCAAGTTTTGACCCTACATAGCGCAATGAACCAATTTTTGAAAGCAAGTGCTGATTGAGGTGGTAAAACCCTGCTGTTTTTTTGTGGCACCCATTTGTTTCTTGTCGGGTAAAGCGGTCGATTTGACCTCATGAAGATGACGATGACAAAGTAGATGATTATTTCATCTTCATGACGTACTGTATGTTTAATGATCCACAAAAGGTCACCTTCAGATCCACCAACCAAATAGCTAGCTTTTGATCATTTGAGACTCCTGGTGTGGTGTTTTTATGGCTCATCCAGATTGGATACTTAGGGATGATGCACGGTTTATGTGTTTTTGGCAAAGCATGGCGTTTTCATCGTCCGCTCCACCGGAAAGAAAACAATCTGAGCTAGTCCGAAGGGACGGCATGTGAAGGAAGGACGTGCCCCCATACTGGCTATGTGGTGGTGGGGGACTGTACACCACAAGCGGCATGATTCCAGGGGCAACAGCCAAGTGATGTGTGAAGAAATAGGTGACCATTGATCCTTTGAGATATCCATTCTGTGAAGCACAATGTCATGGGCCACTTTCTGTAGGTTGACTGAAGGTGTTTTCTTGGCATCCAATGCATCCGTTATTCCTGCATTTATAGTCATGGTCGTTCATGTCAACCATGGTATGTGTCCTAGTTTTTTGAATGGGCAGAGACGCTCAATATACTGAACTCAGCCGAAATATATATATATATACTAATATATATATATACACCTGAGATTACTTGAGCAAACATGTTGATTCATATAGTCATCGTTACTTACCACAATTCATGAAATGGTATGGTTGCATTGCAACAAAGAACTCCACCAATCGAGCGCCTGGGCGTCGCAAAGGACTCAAATGAAGTTCCGTTTGGCAGAAGGCGTGATGTGGCAACCCAGGATTGCCATCAGTTACTGCAACGGTCCATCCTCCTACCATCTACCGAATCACATCGCTCACAAGTCGGCTTTATGTGTTGTGTTCAGAAAGACATGGACAACAGGCTTTGATTTCATTGGAAAGAATGATGTTCCGTCAATTAAATGCTTTTCATGTCCATGCTGCTGCGAAGGAGAGTAACTTTTTCAGGTTGTGGGGAACCCTAAACCCTAAACACCATGCAACAAACAAAACTGTCAGTATATGATTATTCTTTCCCACATGTTGTTCAAAGCAAAATAGAATCAGCGGCACAATAACTGTTTTTTGATCTGCCTGGCCGACCGCCGATCATTCGCCTCAGCGTGAGGCGGTGGTACGGCCTACTACCTCCTGGGCGTCCGTGATTCCGGAAACGCAGAGGTCGACCACCGGCTCAGAGCGTCGGAGCATGGAATCGTGGACCGGCTTGATGTCATACATGAAGCCTCCATGCCACGACGCCATATGGTCGAGAACTTTGGGGTTGGAAGGCTGCATTCACCAAGATGGTCACATTGCTAATGAGAAGCCTACTGTAGGGAATTTAGAGATTTTGCTGTTCTCAAATTTGCCAACCAGAGCTTTCTCGTGTTTGTGATAGGGTTCTTGGACTGCATCACTGTATTTATTTGCTAGCGTGGCCTTACTTTGTTGTAGCGATTCCATAACCTGATCCAATCCAAACACATTGGTGTGCTGATTCATCCCACTTATTTGGCTTTAGAGCACGGGAATTCCCTGTTCATGTTGATTATCGGAGTGGCAGGGGCTGACAGCCCGAGAGCATTCGGAAGCAGTGAGTGTGCTGATGGCGGTGTGGGACTCAGATTGTGGCTGGCGTAATTGTCTTGGCCGGATCTATATATGTGAGGCATTGTGAGGCTGTCGCACGCCTACGCCTGCGTGATAGTTCCCCCTTATGTTGCCGCAGGGGCCTTGGATATGTTCCTGCTATGTTGAACTCCTGGGGCCAAACCATAGGCTGCTCGCTTTAAAGCGATAACCTTACTGAATCATGTTCTCTACTTGACGCTACGTTGGACTGGCAGACGCTCATGTAGCCTTAGGTAGGGTGTGGACGTGGATGTTTGTACTCCTATTCCGATTCTGCTTAAGATGGCAGCATCGATCAATGGAGTGCCGTGTTCGGAAACCAACTGCGACTAGGGTTTCTCCACGACTCGCATTGGATATAATAGACGTGGCTTTCAAGGAAAGTACATCATGTCCTAGGTCGATTTTTATACTTCCTAGGGCACATCAAGCTAGGAGCAAGCATGTCGCAAGGAAATTCAACGAATCCAACCATTTTTCCAACCTTCTCCCTCGCAGAAGAGGCAGTGAGCCCTCCTTGACGAAGGTTCAGTACAATAGGATTTGTATGCCCTCTTTAGGTTGGAGCCCATCGCTACTATTAGGAATCGACCTTATGCTCGCTTGCTTCCAAGGCTGCCGGTGCAGCTGACAGCATCTTACTCCTGGAGGTGGGTCCTCGCCGCCCTCTCTTTGGAGACACAAATGGTCCCAGACAGAAAGGGGGAGTCAACCAAGAGTCAACAAAGGACCGGAAAACACTCTATGACATCGAAGAGTTCTGAAATGACTTGCCTTTCATCATCCAGCTCATTCCCTTTCCCTTCCAGCTCATCCAGGCCTTGGGCAGCTCATCCAGAGCTCGGAAAGGAAAGCTTTGCTCGGCCTGGCGACTGGAACAGAGGCGGGCGAGTTCCGGATAGAGAGGTACGGTGAGAGAGTTCTGGAGGCTCGAGGTGCAACTGATTTGGTTGATCCACAAGATCCTGTAGCCAAGATCCACTGGAAAACCATCAAAAGCTCCCTCTCCCCTCTTTGCAAGACGGTGAAGGATTGGACCCACCAAGATCAGGATTCCTTGGGATTCCTCAGGTGTGTTGGCTGGCTTTTGGAGGATGCATGAGGATACTGCAATGTTTCGAGCGCAATAGGCCCCATTGTTTCTAATTGTTTCTGGTATATTCTATATTTCAGGGTCAAAGCTCTCCGCATGCAATGCCGAAGGAATTACTGTAATAAGATTTTTTAAACATAGCAAGGAAGGCCGGAGAATCATCATTTAGTATTTGTGTTTTGGATTTGGGGTTCGCAGCCGAAGAAGGTGTGATCATCTGAAGAACCAGAGTTGCAGGTTTTGGCTCAACGTGGACTTAGTGACAGATCAAAATGCATAGCGTGATATATTTGGAGTGAAATTGCCTGTGAAACTGTCACTCCAGGGACTGAGTTGCGCTCATTCCATGCTTCACGAGTTGGACCTTTTGTCCCAGGGTCTATCATCACCAGATAGGAGTGGACTCAGAATCAAGGCTGAAGAAAGGTTGATTGGCTTGCATCTATCACTTTTTTTGTATACAACATTGCGATGGGCTTACGAGTGTGAGTCTCTAGCAGGGGCGACATGTGCATCACAAGGCATCAATATTTTGTCAACATCCTAAAACAAACAAAAACATACAAACACATCTAGTGACACGTTTGTGTATATATTACTACTTATGGTTAGTTTGCCCTCTGTATGACCATGCTTTATTCCTTTTCTCAAGACAAATGATAGCCAGCATCGACGCACTTGCTTTGCTTGGTTGATGTGCAGCTGGTTGAAGGACATTGGCACACTCCCAGCCTTCCAGCCTTCCATGTGTGCCGTTGACGACAGCCTCGGCCTCCAGTGGGCCTCAGCGGGCCAAACGGAAGCCAGCTGGCCTGCACGATGTGACCATGCGATGGTGGTCCTTCCAAAGGAGCGAATCTTGGGAGATGAACAAATCCCATTCTGTTCACCACGGATCTCATGCTTTTGGAGCCTGCAGAGCTCAGCATGGCTTCTCAGCATGGCCCAGAAGCACTTTGAAGATTAGTCTCACAATGAAACCCTGCACGATTCGTAAAGAGTTGTTGAGCAAGTGTTTTGTGGGGGGCAACACGACTTGTGCCATATGCCATCAGCTGTTTGTGGGAGATGCAAACTTGGACCAAAAGAGACGCCATGGTTACACAATGTGCACACAGAAGGTGCTGAACCTCCCTACAAACTTCGGCTGGTTGAATTTCTTGAACTGTTATGAACATACTTCCTAAACTCGCTGGCATGGTGTGTTACTTGCTGCTACTCGGAGGAGCAGCATGTCTTGCTTATGGGGGGTGTCGCCCGTGGTCGTTGGGCGCTTCAAGATGTTTGGCACAGTGCAGACGCTGGCGTCACCTGGCACTGTAGCATCGCTGCGGCTCCTTGGTCTGCGCGCTCGGGGCATGCGGCGATCACGTGGAACGGCCAGGTGCTGCTGCTGGGCGGCGTTGGGCGTCGAGGCCTTTGTGGCGATGTATGGAAGTGTGCAGATGGGATTGGAACTGAATGGACGGAGGCACAACTCTTGAGATGGATTTGGGGTACTTTACTTTTGGTGTTCTTTTGGGATAGTTTGGTGGAGGTTGAAACTCTTTCAGACTTTTTGGCACAGCGAGGTCTCCAGCTCAGGGCCATGGCCTCCACGCTATGGCCACTCTTTAGTGTTGCTGGATTCAGGCGAGGAAGCATTGATCCTGCTGGCAGGTGTGGGGCTGGGTCGATTCCTAAACGACGTTTGGCGCAGTGACGACCACGGTGAAACCTGGTCCTTGGTGACTTCTGCCCCCTTTGCTCCGCGTGCGGCTGCAGCCACTGTGGCCACAGGTGGACTAATACTCTTGGCTGGTGGTAGAGGTGAAGATGGTTGTTTGGATGATTTGTGGATGAGCCCTGATGCTGGCCTCACTTGGTCAGAGCTCTTTGTGAACGGGCGACTTCGACCGCCAGCCCTTAGTGGAGCGTCCTTACATTGCGTGGATGGGCAGCTGATACTGATGGGTGGATTTGACGGCGAAACACATCACAACACCCTATGGCAGGGCCTCCTGAAGGAAAGCTCTGTCTCCTGGACTCGTCACACTGCGCCCTGGACCCCTCGATATTGCCATTGCGTGGCCCAAATGGGTCCCTTGATGCTACTGACTGGGGGGCATGGAGCTGAAGGTGATTGTCGAGATACCTGGACCAGTCCCAGTTTGCAGTTCTTTTGCTCGGCTGCGGTGGAACTCTCCGTGCTCAGCCGAGCAATCACCAAGCGCTTTGGGCTTTCATTGGAGCTCTGGGAGACTGGCATCCTGCCACACCTTTTGCCTTCCATAGCCTTGAGGCTTCAACGCTCTGGAAGATCAAAAAAGGATTCATACAGGGTAGCAAGTCTTGATACGCCCGTGTGCGTGTGGAGCGATACCAAACCCATCCAAATCCATCATAGGCACGGTTGAGTGTTCCAATCTTTTCGCAGAGTCCCATCATGTCCCATCGGATGTTGTGCTTCTTTTGCACTGGTACAGATTTCCCTTGAACCACCCGCAGCTACAAGCAGGAGTTCTGACAGATCATACGCAGGTGATTCATGTGGTGTCAACAACTATTGCTTTAGCCCTTCAAAAAGGTGACGTGTTTTGAGCAAGACGACCGGGAGCCCTGGGAGAAAAGCTGTCCTGACTTTCGAACATCATGCAGCGTATGTCCGAACTCCATCGTGGCTGTGTGAAAGAAAGTTATACACAGTAAGAATATGTAAGAATCATGTCTAGCTCCGTGCGCCAGCATGCTGAAAGGTAAAGGTCATCGCCGATCGCTCTGTACTTCCCGAGGCTTTTACATACTACCGCTTTTGCGCGTACACTACTCTTTGTCATAGGCAAACATGGAAACTCTTCAGATTGGGATGATGAAGTTCTTCTGGCCGGGGTAATCTACCACTTTCTACATCAGTTGCTTCACTGGTGATTTGGCTGTAGCAGTCACATGTAACATGCAATGAGCTGGGGGAGGTTTGCAAGCATTAATGGAGGCAAATCCTGCTTCTATGAACCATGGAATTGGAATTGACAGGTGCCAGAAGGTTTTGTCGCAGTAGAACGTGCTTCGAGGGCCTTTTAAGTTCCTACAGTGCAATGACCTTGCCTCGCAGAAGAGACTACTAGTGGGACTACTGCATAACCTAGCATATATTTATTATGTATAGATATTAATCATAGTGAGTTGTCCACCACTAACACCCGCCCTTCCCCAAAAAAGGGACCAATGTGAAAAACGAGCGCCAAACCCTGCGATGAAGGCGGCATCACTACAGTGAAGACTAAGTAAGTAAAGTGAGTGAAACCTTAAGGAACGATAAGGTTTTTGTACATGTTGTTAGGTGTGTCCAAACCCTCAGGAACGATAAGGTTCACGGAAAAACGATAACGTTGAGAAGAGTGCGCACTACAACACATAAGAGGTGTTGCACGTCGGTCATAATATGTAGCCAGATGATTTTTTGCAATAGCACCTGATTCAGTTGTTGTGGGAGTGTGATTGAAAGATATTGAAAGGTTCTTGCTTGGATAATGCCCTTCTGTTCTTACAGCTGATCCATTGAGAACATCCAATCATGGCCGTCCTGGTTAGGAGGTTCTCCGGCATTGTGCCATCCGACCACCGGTGCAAACCATCTGAACATCCAACCGGTTCGCTGCAGTATCGACATCCAGATCAGCCTTGGTCAACCAGGCAGTCTGCTGTCAGCAAGCTGTCGAAGCAGTTACACCTCTGGGATTCGCTGGCCGTGGCTAAGCAGCATGTCGCATCGCCCCTTAAAGGCTTGAAGAACACAATCATTGTAGGAGTTTTGTCAGGTCTCAGAAGAGGTTCTTGGAATTGAACCAGAAATTCTGACGAGGTATGAGCAAAAGAGATTCATGATCACAGTGACATTTATATGTATTATTTTGGCAGATCAGAATGCTCCTACCCATCCCTCCCAAAAGCCTTGGAGAGATCAATGGATCAGACATGTTCCTCCAAGTGATAGCAACCAACCAAAGGTGACATACGCGTTTCAGGTCTCCAGGCCCAGCCTTTTGGACATGAGTGAAGGGAGCAGGAAGTGGCCGACTTGGCTCGCCGCATCTGAGGACTCCTTGCCATACAAGCGGTGTCGAATGGAAGCTGAATCCTTTGACTCAAAGGCACTGGAGTCGATCGAGAATTTGGACTAAAGTACAGTGAGGCTGCTAGGTTGGAGGCCATCGCTATTAGATGCTATTAGGTTGGAGGCCATTGCTAGTGGGTTGGAGATTCAGATTGACCTTTGGACTCCTATCCTGTGTTCACATGTTCAATCTGGCCTTTGGTGGCCAGGACAGTGCATGCGGGGAGCTGGATTGCAGAGCCTTGAGGTTGGAGAGGCGAGGTGGAACGGATGGAGAAAACCAGTGCCCAGCACACAGAGCCTTCTCCACAAGTGTTATCTCAAACATCCTTTGTTACCCAACCACATGGGTGTTCATTTTCCCTACTCTCGGACGTTTCAACTGCCACTTTTTTGGTTCACTCAGTCTTCCAGTCACTTTCCTGCAGTGCAGGGCCAGCCATATTTTTCTGGAATGAAGGGTGCAAACTCAAACTCTCGATATGTGGAATGATGTGGAATGTATCAATAACAATGTTAAATGGGTTGCCCCCTTGGCCATCCTTTGCCTTGTTACCGCTCCAGTAGGTTTGACCCTCCAGCCCCCCACTCGCAGCAATCTGCGCCCTTGGGTCTTTGGATTCTTGAAGAAAGCACCTGTGTCGCAGTGGTCGTGGATGTTGGGTCTAGAAGAAGTGCCCGAAGGCCTAGGAGGAAAGCAGAGGCCTCTTCCAAGGCAATCAAACATTGAGGCTACAGTGTCAGAACATGACATGGCAGGACCTCCGAACCCTCACTGGATGTTCAAGTCTTGTCCGTTGCCAAGTGTTAGAGGTGCCCTCAACATTTGGAAAGGATGCTTCAGAGGAAGACATCTCGGGCGTTCATGTCACACAACAACCAAAATAAGTTCTCTACGCAATACAATTGGACCCCCGTTGGACCTTCCATCCCCCGTTGGACAATGGTCCCGCTTCACTGTTGCACCGCCGGGTGCCAGGACAGAACAACCTCGAGAGCTCTCCGTTGGCGTAGGGAGATAGACGCCGACACCAGATCTCGGCCTCTTGGATGCACCGGGAAGGACTACCAGCAGAAGATGAACCGAACGTTGAACTAAATATGTGTCGGGAAGCAAATTGGCAGCGACAAAGACCATTTGGGCCTTTTTGGTCCGGTGACGCAACATGAGTTGCACAGCACAAGAGACTTGATCGAACAAACTCTAAGTCATATCGATTGGGTTGTTCATTTTTTTGTGTGGAAATGCAAGAGGATGGGGCAATGCGAGCGCGCTGGTGCACGGTCATGAGGTTTGTCTTCCACACCTGTACCTTGCCGGACCAGTTCACCTTCCTTGGTTGGCGGCGTGTCACAGGAAGAAATCAATGGCCGTTTGTGGTGCTTTGCAAGTGGCTTTCTTACCTACTAGCTTCTTGCTACAAGTAGCTTCTTGTTACTAGTAGTAATGGCCTCCAACCTAATAGCGATGGCCTCCGACTTTTGTGTCCAGCAATTTCTGTTTGCAACAGCCTTGCGAAGCACCACCGTACTGTGTGGCCCTTCCAGCAAGTTCAGTGGGCATTCCCCGCTGCTCTTTGACGAGGGCGACCGCCTTGCATGCATTTGAATCTGAAGGATTTTCCGTATCAACGACCCACTCCATCAATGACTGGAGAGATTCATTTGATGTCATTTTTTTACTACGGAACACGACTACCGAACTGCTGAACTGGGGCAAGATATATATTATGAATATAGTGTATGATTTGTTAATTGATAATTAATGATTGAAATGACATTGGGGGGGTTATCCCCTCTCATAAAACATTTTATGGTACCCCTGATGAGGGGGGTCAGGACGTGATTTATAGAGGAAACGTGTTGATTTTGTGTTTGTTGTGAAACTGTGACAATTTTTGCAATCCAATGTTTGTGATTCAAAGCAGAGAGCCAGCAAAGCCGTGATCAAACACAAGAAACATATGGATAAAAATATTAAATCAGAGATTGGAAATACAATGTAAAACGGGATTTGCCAACCCGTCGAATACCAGCCTTCCTTTTAGCCTAGAACCCTGCATAGTCGTGGAGGGATTCATCTCTATAAAACGGCTAGCGTTGACCCCCTGGAGAGCCATTTTCAAGCCTCTTCTTAGCATTTCCTAGCCTTCCTTTTCCTCTCCCCATGTTCCAGCCTCCTCTTCCCAGGTCATTTCCCTTGGCATTCCCATCTAGATCCAGCTAGCCTGGAATCCCTGTATAGTCGTAGAGGGTTTCCTCTCTATAAAATGGCTAGGTGTGTTTTCTGGAGAACTATTTTTACCTATTCCCCTAGCTCTTCCTAGCATTCTTACCCTTGGCTTCCTTCTCCCATCTTCTGCCCATGTTCGAGCCTCCTCTTCCTAGCTCAATTCCCTTAGTCTAGAACCCTGTATAATCGTAGAGGGTTTCCTCTCTGTAAAATGGCTAGGGGTGACGATTTGATTTTTAGGTACCCCCCTAGTTCTTCCTAATATTTCCTAGCCTTCCTCTTCTTTCTCCCATCTTCTCTCCATGTTCTAGCCTCCTCTTCCCAGATTATTTCCCTTGCCATTCCTAGTTAGATTAGCTAGCCTAGAATTCCTGCATAATCGTTGAGGATATCCTTTTTATAAAATGGCTAGGTATTATTACTTAAAGAATTATGTTTGGGTAATTTTCTAGGGCTTATTCCCGAATGTGGATACAAATGATATGGATATGAAAGAATGTTAAATACAAATATATTAAGGATTTAATTATAACGGCTAATTATAAAATGATTATTTTTTAAGATATTTAAAGATTTAATGGATATATAGGAAACAAATTGGTAAAGAATTTATAAATATATATAATATAATAGATGAATTATTATATATTGAATTAATTTTTCTTTAATTATAACATATATTGATTTATAATCGATAGAAATTGATTTAAATTAAGATTTTTTAATTATATTCGAAGGAATTTAATTTAAATATTATTTATATTATATATAATTTAAAATAATCGATTTAATTAAATAATTAATATAAATAT